GCAGTTGCTTAATTATCGTGTTCCAGACTCAGATCTTGAGCCACCCAGGTGTATAATAGAAGCACATTCCATGCTTCAGTAGGATTGTGTACGCAGCAATGCAGCAGAGGGTATATTTCACTACAAATGAGACCATATACATATTCCTTAAGGCTTTTCTTATTCAATTTGGGGGGTCCGATCCTGATAGGAGTTGAAATCGAAGGGGGTCTGACCGTGTCTACTGCTATCCTAGCCACCATATTTTTTCTGTCTAAGAAGCAGTTCTAGCTCTATAGGTAAATCTAGTATATACGATATTCCAAAAAAAAAAAAAAAAAAAAAAAAAATCTCCAGATTTAGTTTGGTCAGGTGTGTATAGAAACAGCTACTGATTTTTTGTCCATTTTTCGGGTGGGGAGTTTTGTCATTCATCTGAATCTTCCCCATTATTGTTGAAATTACTATAATTCATTGTTGATTCTATATCTATAGAGTTAAGAAAATTCGTGTGTATCAGTGTATGGAATATGTTTAGAAGGTGGGCAAGCAAGAAAGCTGTGATCTGTAGATTTGAGAGTACGTAGCTTAGAAGACTAGGATAATAGTCTACTACTTGCTGCTCCTCCACATATTCTGTTATATTATGAAGAAGCTATGCAATTGAGTATTTCTGAAATATGCTTAACTCTGTTCCGAAATAATACAAGTGCAAAGTATTCTTGTTTACTCGAATCTGATTCGTCTCTTTTATAAATTTTTCTCTGTAGTTATTTAAAATGGAAAAAACCAAAAAAAACTCATGTGTATTTGGGGTTTTTTTTTATCTTTTATTTTTTTGAACAAAGGATATATATACATTTAGCATTTTAGTACTCCCTAATTATTTCTTATTCTATTTTTGTACAATGATATTTCTCCTGCACTATTTTATGGAGTACTATTTTCCCTTACCACGTTGATTTGAAACGAAGGAAGTAATACGTACTAGCAATATTTTTTAGATCATTCCAACTTTACACATTTCTACCATATTTTTGGCGATTTTATCAACTACACTACAAAGTATTTTTCTTTGAATCACTCAACTTACCTCTTCAAACAAGAGTACCAACTACCAAGTAATCAGATATATAAATTAATTAAAAAAAGCAAAAAAAAAATGAAAGAATAGCAACATTAGCAAATACATACTCCAAAATGTTCCAAGTTTACAATCATGGGACATACTTTAATGGGTGGCCTGTGGGTCTTGTGATTTTGTCTGTCATTGTCAGCTTCTGTGAATCTTTCATTACTTGACTATTTGGCACCTTCTGTGATCTCATTTTTTGGCAGCTTCTGTAATTGTTTTACTGTTTTCTTGTTACTTTTTCAATTTTGACATAAGCGTAAAGTTATTACGACTACAGTACATTTTCTTTTATTACATACTCGAATTTAATACATAATATATTTTTACGAGAGATTTTAAATATTAATGATCAAAATTATGCAATAGAAAAATTCTCATATTGCATATAGAACATTAGCACAAATATTAACGATACACGACGAATTTTAAATTCGGGGAAGTCTCTAAGAATTGCCAATGCCCAACAGTGTTATAACACAAGGCAGAGAGAGATGATTAAATTATTGATTATAGAACATTAGCACATATACGAAATCTGTATAGCTGCAATTTTGTTACTGGCCGACCCAACAATAAAATAGCGTATCACTGATTACTGATTAGGTTGGCTGTTAGCAAGAATTTTTATGCCATGATATACTCTGATTGATTCACAATAATGGAGCAACTGCTCATTATGGATTATTATATAATAAAGTGGTGTACCAGTATTATGGACCTAAAAGTGTGAATAACAATGTCATTTCTTTTCTAGGCATCAAAATTCAGTGCACTGCATTATGCTTTAGAATGCCAATTAAGTTGGTAACATGCAACAAAGATCGTGGATCAACCACGTGTACGGTCGCGATCGAGGAATAAAATCAAAAAAATTCAAGTTACATGGCTTGTAACATGTAACTAAGGCATATATTCACATAGGTACAAACTGGGGAAGGGGTGTATAATGAAGGTTCCTGGGATGTCAACTTTTGGAACTTTGGGTTAGTTAGGGTCTTTTGGGTATATGCTAATTTGACTAATACACTAGGAGAATAGAGAACTTGTGGAATCCACATGCCCCTTTTACTTTCATATGTTTGTACTTTACACACTTCCTGTCTCCCTCTAGTCTTAAGGTGGCGTCGAGCCATTTCGAACGTCGGCTTAGAGATGACCAATTGAGTGCATGGCTCGCTTAATGGACAATTAGGGCTTGTTATAAGTATCAGCAGATCACTTATCGACCTGTCATGTCTCATGTTGATTATCATAAACGAATATAACGGTGGTGTAGTGTAGGGCTAAAATTGGGATGACACCACCTCATGACCAACTCTACTATACCCTTTATATTTTCACCCTTGGGCATGCCTTATTGCTCAACTTGAATACGAAAATGTATCTACAACCTATTTAATAAAATTCGAACTTGTTGTTCGGATCAAGTTCGGTTCAAGCCAGTTTTAGGTAATAATTCATTCAATTTAAATTTGAATAATAATTGATTCAAGTTGGTGTAATTCAATCAGTCACTTCTAAGTTCTAACCTTGTATTAATTCCCTAATTGTACAAGAAACTTAATCAAATTTAAATACTTCGTATTAGTTACTTAATGGATTGGAATAAGTCTGAAGTGAATCCCATTCTAGATCACATAACTTCGAGTACAGACAAATAATCCGAATAAGATAACCAAGTACGCCGAGACGAATTTTTATGATTAATAATCAATTGAGAGTGGAATGGACGATGTATCATCTTTACGTGCTAGAACAAGCATAGTAGTTAATCTTATTAACTGGTACTAATTATATAATTGTTGAAGTAGTATAACCTTGTCTTTCCAGCTTTGCAGGAGCAAGTTTGTATGTAAACGGCACTTGACGCAATACACACTGAATTTTATACTCCGTAATTCCTCCAAGTAGCCAAGTAAGGTTGTAACTAGGGAAGAATAAGTCCAAATTAAAGCTAATACCTTTGAATTGCCGACCGTTAATAAAGTCTATTACAATGCTTAAAGTGAATTAAAGTATATAATAATACATCACTATCATAGAAATTGCCTCTAGATAGATGTAAAATATAATCAATTAGGTTGACCAAAGATATTATATGATGATATTCTAGATTGAAGAATTAGTTCATAATCCTATATTATTAGTAGTAGATTAGCATAGCAAGTGGTGATTGTAACTTGTAATTGCTCTCAAATCCTAAGTCTAACACACGTTATGAAGAGACAATTAGGCTAAATCCAAGCATAAAAGGCCAATTATACATTTGACTTTGTTTCGGATAAAATTGTCATGTTTATCTAATCTCTTAAGATTACGACTGTGATAATTTTACAAATTGTTCTATGAATTATAGCTTATTTGGCTATTTTATTCGTCATTACTTAGTGTGAATAAGGATATATTAGAAATTTCATAAATATTTTAGAAAATGTAACAATGATTTTTTTTTTTGTCATTTCAAGATAATATGAAGAACGATAAGAAACAAACTTGTAAAAAGAACGATAGTTAAGACTTGTGCGTATTTGAAAATTTGTTAACTATGTGTCATGATTATGTATTGTTAATAAGAATTGATTTTGAAGGTCTTTTGATATCTTGGAAGTTGGAACAACCATACAATTGGAGTAAATAAGGTTTACCTTACAATTATTTATTTATTTACTTATTTATTGATCTAGATATGTATTTTTTTGATGAAAGGTTATCTTACAAATTGAATTTACCAAGTCTTGAACAAATTTATATTTTGTCCAACTTCATTTGAGAGCGTTGATCCATTCTTATTTGCTACATTTATACAATACGACAACTTGGTTACTTTGTGAATTTATCATCTATCTAGAATTCTAGATGTTGTGCAAAAATGTTTACACTTTGCTCAATTGATTCACACGTAACTAGTACAAAGTATAAAATTCCTACTATTAGTTTAACAACACAATTGAAAAGTACAAGGTATACTATATATATTTTGACATGCATTTTCACTAGTGATATTAAATTAATTGACTTTTCTTCTTTCATTGAACTTTTCGTTGATATATTATAGTGAAATCTTTATTATGTAAAATAAACTATACACACTTTTCTCCAAAGTTGGAACGCTCGAACATTTCCAATACTTTTCTCCGTAGTTTTATTTTGTTGCTACTTTTTTGTGTCACAGGGATGCCCTAAGTTATTTGTATTTACATTGATTAAAATTAAAATACCATAAAATTTATTATTGAGCTGCTTTTTAATCATTTTTTTCTTTATGATTAAATGTTTAATACGACATTCGTAAGATCAATTATTGTATAATCCAATTTTTATTTTTTACTTATGTATGGATGAAATTTAATGGGACTCATTGTATGAATGAGTGTTACATAATTTATCTATAGTACTAATTACTATGCTAACTGCTGAATATAATATCTTCCCTTCCCCTAATTACCTCCCAAATAAGTCAAAATAAAAATCCCTCAAAAAAAAAGTCAATTAAAATCTTCAAAGTCGGACTTTTTTCACTCATCATCTAGGTTGATTCAAGAGGTGACATGAAATTTGAGTCTCTCCCAACGTTTGTAATTGACTTTCCTCCCATTACCTGCAATTGCGTCAGTCTCGCTACCTCCAAAAAGGTTTAAAACTCATAAAGTACATATTACCCTAAGTGAAACGGTCAAATAGTTGAATAGTTCAACATAGTGTGCTCTTTGAAGTAGTTATTATTTACAATATTTCCTACATATTACTCCTTTTTTTTGGTGTTTAGAGAGCCGAATCCTCTAAATTTGGTCTTTATTTTTTAACACCAAAAGAAGAATTTAGGCCATTATTTAAAAATAGATTTTGTATATTAGACCATGTAATATAAAATTGTTTACAACAAGAATTGATTGAATACACAAATTGATTTCAAATAAACATCTCTCCTTTGTCGATCAAACATCTTACACATCAACTTCTCACGCAATCACCAAATTAACCAACAAACAAAATCTTTTTAAATTAAACAAATCCTCCGTATAATAGATCAACACCTAACACAAACATGATATCAAAAAAACATACTCCATTCAAAAAACAAAATCACAAACTCCAATTTTTAATCATACTAGTTGAAACATCTCGAGAACATACGCAACGAATATTACAATTTCAACACACTGAATACGAAATTACCAACTTACCCCCCAAACAGCTGTTAAACACTGTACCAAATCACACTCCTATAATCCCCAAGTTCAAGGAACCCCCAACAAAAACATTAAATGTACCATTTAACTTTCCTAATTATCTTCGTCATCATCATTAATTAAATTACCATTTTACCCTTTTATTATTTTCTAATTTTGAAATAATTAGAAATCTTTGAGGAGTTTACGGACTTGTTCCAAAGTAACGAAAAGCACAACAGTAAATGGGCCCTGCCTAGAAATGGTAGGAATGAACCCTTTGTAAAGAGCCATGATCCCCTCAGATCGGACGGTCTTCAACGCACAATCAAGAGCACCATTATACGGCGCCGTTTCACCACTAGCAACTTTCATATTCATAACCCTTGTTTTAATCACATCCACCGGATTCGAAACCACCGCCGCCACAAACCCCGCCGCAAAACTAGCCGTTACGTGGGTCCCAAGCCCGTCCTTCATCACCCCACGATCAATTATCGACTCCTTGATCTGATCGTACGACGCTAATTGCGACGCAGTTACGAGCATGGCGCGGTTCACCGTAAGGCTTGAACCGCGCCACAGAGAAGTGATTCCTTCGTCTTTTACCATTCTTTGGATTGCTTCGACGACGCTTTTGTAGTTCCGGCGTTGCGACGGTGGGAGGCGGCCGTCGGCTTGCATGCGGACCATGGCGACGTCGGCGGGGTTACCGACGGCTGCGCCGATTCCGCCTGCGACGAGACCGGCGGCGATTTTACGACCGAGAGTGAGGGATCCGGTTTGTGGGTCGGTCCATTTGGTTTTGAGGATTTCGTAGAGGCCCATTCGGGTGGTGGAGTAGAGGGTTTGTCGGAGTACGGTAGCGGAAACGCCGGAAAACATGGCGGCGACGCCTTCTTGTTGGACGATACGGACGCCGACGCCGATAGGGCCGACGCGAGGGGGTGGGGGTTGGGTGGGGAGGGTGATTGTGTGGGGCACGGAAGACGGGTGGAAGGCGAGAGCGGGACGGAGGGCGGTGGTTGTGGTGGGGGCGATAGCGGGTTCGCCTTGAAGTTGCATTCGGACTTTGATAAGGTCGAGAGGGTGGGTTGAACATCCAGCGATAATGGATGCGATTCCACCCTCTACGAATCCTTTCACTCCCATGATTTTATTTGGTTAGCACAAAAAAGAATTAGATTGGTTGGTTTATAATCAAAGAATCGGCTAAAATTAGAGAAGACGAATTGAGGAGAGTAGATTTTATTATTAATGAGACCAGTTGGAATTGGAGATCATCTCACTGGAGACGAGGAGATGGGAATGGAGGCCGAAAGCTATAGAAGAGTAATGAGGAACGTGAGACCTGTGAGACATATGAATTCAGGGTTTGCGTTTGAAAACAAGACTAAAAATGATGTGTGATATTTGCTGATTTTTAAGAGACTATTTATAGGTGATTTTGGGAAAGAAGGAAGGGAGGTGGGAAATAGGAAAGGTTGGCTTTAACGCGATGAAACGGGTGGGGCTAGGGTACGATTATTCTAATATGGTTGCCTCCAATATACGCGGAATATTGCCAATGAATTGCCACCTCGACTTTTCTTTGCCCTATATTACCCCTCTACAAAGAAATTTTAACCTTGTGGTTTTGAAAATATTTTGTAAGAATATAATCGGAATGGAATATATGTGCCTTTGGTTGGCTGTTATTAACTCGTTACAAAATTTTTTGGTTGACACGATTATATAACTTGAGCTAGCCTCAACTTGGTGAATTAGATGTTACGGAGTACTTTTTTTATTCTGCTACTCTCTTGTCCAAGCGATTTACAAGATAATAAGTAGTTAAATAAAAGATGAATGTTATACACAATATAAAGCTACATGCCTGCATGTATCAAGTTGAAGGTATAGATTTTGGGTTTTTTCTTATTTTTGTGGGGAATTATTGAAAAATTACTATTTCTATTTTAAAATTATTGGTACCATATTTGAGCTAAGTGATACAAAGAAAGTAATTGAAGTATGAAGATTATATTCATATACTTATGGAATTGATACTATAAATAAAAAAGGTAAATTTTCATACTTAACTATTGTAGCACAAGGCATTGAATACCTTCCTCTATGAGCTTTGCATACCTTAATCATTTTAGTATGTACAACTGTACAAGTACATAATATACATATATTCATACACATAATTTTATTTTATTTTTTTTATTTTTATTTTTTTTTTAAGTTGGCATTTTGGCAACTATGCCATTGATGATAGATTTTTTGGGCTTCTTAATATGCCCAAAATGGGTCGACTTTTTTGGGCTAAGCTCGGCCCGATGTGATCACCGCTACCGAAAACCCATTATCTTTAATTTGTATGTTATTAATTGTCCAAATTTAGTTTTAGTTTATTCATTTACATTTATTTTATATCATACTCCACAAATAGTTACTCCGTATGGATGGTATCTCACACATACATCACATTTGAAAGTAATCATACATTTAGAGGACAAAACTAACAAAGTGTTGTCTAACTTGGTATGTTGCTTACCTCAGATCATAAAAGTTTGAAATTGATTAGGGGTGGAGGTTTCCTTATCCTCCCCTCAACTCTTAAGTGTCTGATTCGCAAATACTAAATAAAATTAAAAAACTATAAGAATTGATGTTTGGTGTACTTAGTACTTACCAATAAGAAAAAATAAAAAAAGAATTTGTTTATAGGACAATATTTGAAGTTGGAGGGGCAATCTAGAACCAAAAGAAAAAGTGTACAAGTGAGGTGCCCTAATTTAATAAGTAAAAAGTAAAAAATGAACCAGTTGGCAAATGAAGTGTGAGGCCCAAAGCCCAAAGATGACATAAGACAATACATAAACAATGATACTCTACATACTGTAATAGTGTCAATTAAAATCTGTGATGCAGTAACTAATTAAACAGTTGATTAAGATGTGAGAATCCTCTGTAATGACGACAAAAACAAAACTAGGATTGGTTGCTTAACTACAGTCAACGAAAGTGGATTGACAATTATAGATGAAGGTAGAACAACAATTATCAAAACTGATTCAACTCGAAAATAATCCAAGAGTAGAATAATATTAGCTTATTTTTACTCCGTAATTTTTCATTCAATCCACATAAACAAAATGAACACATGATTATATGAAGTTATAAACTTAAAAGTTATAACCATAACCAAATATAACTCGAACTGATTTGTGTGTCGATTAGTGGTGTTTTGTCAGCTGTAATAATTAGCAGCTGATTGGATAAATTAAAGCAGATCCCATTGAGCACCTGGCACGTGGAGGGAATTATTAGAAAGGAAAATGGTTAGGTGGGGTAAGATTAGACAAGTAGGTTGGATTTAGGGAGGGTGCTGACTGGCCTGCTTCCTTGCATGTGTGTTCTACGCAACTTACGTCGACCAGCAAAACTCAATCCAAAAATTTAAAAAAGGAAATCGTCGCCTGAGAGATTCGAACTCTCGCGGGGAAACCCCATGTACTTAGCAGGCACACGCCTTAACCACTCGGCCAAAGCGACTATTGTTGATTCGTTTTCCAGATGAATGCAATATATATTATTGTATTCCGTATAATTAGTAGTAGTACCCAGTAAGGTGGTGGATTTTGTTTATGGTAGGTGGGATATAAGTAGAATTGATGAATTTTTGTTGAAGTTTCACTTATTTTCTAGTGTAAATAATTTTGTTTTTCTTCACATTTTATTCATACATAATTAGTTCCAATGCAACTATTTTTCATTCATCAAAATATTTGTTTAGTTCCAAAACAGCTATTCCTATTTACAATATTTACTTATTACTGATATATATATTTCTATTTCTAACGTTTGTTGATTTAATGTTTTAATGTTTGATATATGTGATATCTAATTATTGCTTTCCACTATTTTATTTTTCTTAATAACTGCGTAGAATCACCAAACGTAATAATCTTTCAGGAACAAATGGCCCATAAACAATTATCCAACCCAAAACCCATACATACTCAACCCGAAACCAATTAGCCCAGTTTTGACTCAATCCAAACCAAATTGGCCTGAACAAAATCTACCTAAAAATCAAAAGCATAAACCCAAAAACAATCCAAACGAGTCTTATACATAAATGAGATGAATTGAATTGATCTGATTCGAACAACTCGGTTACCACATCTAATTTTACTATAATTACTAGTCAACAACAACATGAACCTCCACGTAACACCTTCAATTCTTTTGTTAGTATTATAATATAGGAAATCACTAGTTTAGATCCCATGCATGCACGGGTAATACTAAGTTACTTAATTCAAAATCTATCATAAATAAAATTTAATGGAATCAATTGACACATAAGTATATTTTGCATTTGAGTTTATACTAACATCGATTTTATAATAAATTATTATGTATAAAAAGTTTATTTTTAAAATTATATTTATTGATTTTTTTTTCCCGATTTTAGATTTGTATTAATATAAAAAAAAAGTAAATTTATTGTTATTAATAATTAATAATATATCATGTACATATCTTGACTTATATATTCAATAAAAAGATACTCTGTATTATTAGAATCATCCATGAAAATAATAATAACCTAAGAAATATTAATGATTAGTATCAATTATATTAAAAGAGAAATTTGGTAAGAAAAATTAGACGAGATTTTTTTTAACCACACATCGACACGTGTTATTTATCGCTTTTAGTATAGGTTTACTGATTGATTGATGATTAGATACATATGTTTACAAGTTTACCTATAAAGTAAAATAAGCATCAATAAAAATTTGGCTCATTTTACAAACTTAGAGTTCGAACGTTAACAAATGAGGGCACTTCTCCCTTTCCTCACCCTCTAATTGCAAGTATTTGGAACATAAGCAGTAGAGATTGCAAAAATCATTAATTCTATAGTTGGACCAAAGATTCATTCATTCATATTCTCGTAATATCCGAGCAAGAGGCGTAGGCCAACATTAGAGGCTTTGGAGCTTTTCAGTAGAATCTTATTTGGGCTTCTATAAAAATTGTTTCTTAATATAAACCATTAAGTCCCCTTGTTAGGCCTAAAAGGTGTTTCTTAAGTATAAAAACAGCTCTAGAAATAAGCCTAATGACCTCTTAATTTTTGCCTTTATATACTTATATACTTGTATCAATCTTACATCTTTCGAATTATTTTAGGGAAATCGTTGTATCTTTCTATAATACGGAGTATAAAAATCTAGGTGATTTAATTTTCCTACTTTAATAATTTCTATTCATCTCTTTTTTTAATAGGTAAGGAGGACACATTTTTCCAAAATTAGAGCTCTCTCAACCGTCGCAGATCAATCTAATCCGAGTTAGCACCTAATGGGCAAACGACCTTTGGAATGTGGGGAAGCGGGAAGTGTGAAGGAATATTATTACCAGATTTACCATTACACCAAGTACTACGAGTACTTAATAGTCAATACTTTGTACGATTAGCTTGCTTGTATTTATATCCCGTGTATTAACACTAATACATGCCCGTGATTAAAATTTTTTTTTTTTACTAAATACAGTATATAAGAAACCGCCAAAAAAAAATAAATAATACGCCATATCGCCTAATGAGGTTGGTTGGTTTGGTAAAACATCGGTCATAAACACGCAATTTGACGACTAATTAAATCCATGAAACTCACTAAAAAAACCCCAACCATTTTCTCTGTCCTCAATATTCTTCCCAAATCAAAACAAAAACCACACTCATTATTAGCTCAATACAGTAATTATTCACCTAATTTAACTAATTTATTTTCTTCATCTTTCATTCCTCCATTTTTTCTCCACCCTAAAACTCTCCAATCTCTCTCATCAGATGCGTAAACCTAAATCCCCAAATCACCTCTCAAATCCCTCGTTTTCGCCTGCATCTCACCGCCGCCGCCGTCGTCGCCGCCGCAATCGACGGCTCACTTCGCCGGATTTATGTGTGAGAGTGAGAATTTTGGATTTCTGATTAGGTTGTTGCTCCTCCTTGGTGTGGGTTGATTTCCGGTAAATGCTGCAGATTCCGGTGTTGTTATCGGTTGCGTTGTTGATTTTTACGGTGGTTTTGCGGTGGTCGTTGAAGAATGATGAGACGAAAAAGGAGGAGGTTCAGGTTTTGGTTTCTCGTCAAGCTCCTGCAATGGCGGATTTCGATGTGTTTAAGGAGGAGAGAGAATTCAGTGGATTTAGTACTAAAATGGTGATGAAATCGCCGCGGTATGAGTGTGCTGTTTGTTCTTCTTTTACCTCTACTAGGTGCTCCCGTTGCAAGACTGTTCGTTACTGGTAATTTATTCGTTTATTGCTTGATTTGATTGGTTTGAATATTTAAATCATTTGATAATTTTCATTTGAATAATCTGAGAATTGTTAATGAGGATAATGTTTAATTTTTATATAGAATAACCTGAGAATTGTGTTTCCTTATGTTTTAAATCTCTGTTATAACTATATAATTGGACTAATTAGAGGATAATATTTAGTAATGTTGAATTTGCCGCTTCATGTCATGTATAGATATAACAATATTGAAGTAGGAATCATAGAATGGTATGAGCTGGAGTTTTGATTTGCGAATCATCTTGGAATGATTGATTAACATATGCAAAATGAATAGAGTAGAAGATTTTCAATCATATTGCTTGATACTGAGAGATAAGGAAAATGTGATCGGCATGTGGCTGTTAGGTCATGTAAGTTGGTGCTTAAATTTTGTGACTGGAGGATTTGAGTTTTGAGCTTGTGCTCAGGCATGTATTTTTAAGGAATGAAATCATAATGAAAAATGTAAAAAAATTCATATAGAGAATAATGAGATATTAGACAATTGAAATTTCAATTTGCCAAATGTGCCCGGTAATGGCTGTAAATGTTTTGGTGTCCGGCTCCTAAGAGTGTGTTTGGATAGAGAAAGGGGAAGGGGAGGGAGGGGAAGAGGTGGGGAGCCATGAAGATATACACACACTTTAGTCAAGTCAAATTTAATTTTTATTAATCGCTAGCTTAAAGTCTTGAACTATCTCAATATTCTCCTAGTCAAGCCATAAACTGTGCTGTCTTCAAGATCAATAATCAATTACCAAGTATCAAAAATTTTCACTTTAATCAAAATTTCCTACCTTATCGCAGGTTGTCAGTACATGCTATTGCTGTATAAATTTCCCACCTTGTAATTTCTATAGTGGGGGCTGGGTTTCCAAGGATAACCAATGAATACCTAGGAGAATCTGTATGTGTTAGTGATGTGCAATTGCATGGGGGTGTAGGTGGGAACTAAAGCTTTTGCTGTATTACTCCAATGGAAACCACACATATATAGTTGGCTTGGCCTAAATATTAGTTGAAAATAAATTGAAAAGAATGATTTATTAAGAATTTAAGGTAGTGTTTTGGACATTTAATGTAGCAAAGTTGGTTGACATTGATATGAGAGTTGTGTCAGGATGCTAAAGCCCTATTTGAGAGTTTATCAGCAGGTTCTCTGTGCTTTTATACTGGTTAAACTTAAATATTGTTTCAGCTGTGTGTCAAGGCTTGTAGATACTATCTGGCTTACATGATTCGTTGATCTTACTTTTAGTTTAGCACTATTGGTTTTGAACTAATGCAATGTGGGTTATTTGCTCCTCAAAGTTTCCCACTTACCCTGTACATGGTATTGCTTAGCATTTGAAAATTTTACTTGTTTAACTGTTCTGGTGGTTTGTGTTAGTCTTTCTTACTTTTGTTTTATTACTGGGGATACTGTAGCTCTAGTAAGTGCCAAATAATTCACTGGAGACAAGGTCATAAGTATGACTGCCACCCTCAGAGCCCTGGAGCATTTGAGAGAGATAATTTAAATGAAAATGAAGAAATGATGGAGCAATGTGTGACAAATGATACCTGTTCTGCTGAAGATTTATCAAGGGTGGACGAGAAAGACACAACTGGTCAGCAGAATCACGATGTTTTGGATTCTCCCATGCCCCGTCTATCTGCTGTGACAATTGACTCTTCAGACATTTACTCTGAAAGGAGGGAAATTGGGACACCTTTCTCAGACATTAGTGTACTTAATATGGACCAAAGAGAAGATAAGAATAAAACACTGGACATGAATATTTCAATTGGACTGGCATCCACTAGACTGATGAGTCCTGTGAAGAAATTGAACAGAGAGAAATCAAGGCAAAATGACAGAAGGAAATCTAGGTCTTCCAATCCAGGTCTGTCACCAAAATGTACTACAGATAATTCTTGTGATAGAGCTGTCTCAAGTAACATACATTCTTCCAAGTCCAAAGAAATTCCGTTTGTGGATAACGAGGCATTGAAGCGTTCACAGACAATTAAGAATGACAACGTCAAACCCTTGGCCAGTAAGAATTCTGGTAATAGTTTATTGCAATCAAGAAGCAGTAGTAGTTCAAGCCAGTTGCCACATAATGGTATTAAATCGTCTCTCCAGAAAGTTGTGCATCATTTAAAAGCCTCTCATCAGAAGAAGGCCCCTCTTTGTAACAGCTCGCATGGAATTTCAAGAAACCCTGATAGAAAGGTCTCTTTCTAGGATCACTTCATTTCCTTCATTCCGATTTTTCTTGTCTTTTTACGCGTTGTAATGTGGTTTACTTTCATCCTGCAGACAGTGTTTCAGTATGATGCATTTGTGAGTTTGTACACCTCAAATGCTGTTGAGTTGAAACCATTTGGCCTTACGAATTGTGGAAACAGGTTTTTTCTTATAATCTCCCTTGCGTAGTTTGCACTCTGCACTTTGGAAAAAGTTTTGGTGTAAGAATGAAAGTAATATAATTCTTATCTACTAGCTACTATATGAAGAGAAGGTCGGACTATGCCACCCCTTCTTTTCACGTACACAACTCATCTTGGACAATAATATTACCCAAATGCTTCTAAGTAATCTGTCATTATTTCACAAGGGTCATACGCCTTTGATCTATGCAGCCCTGCCTCCGGCCCTCAAGAATAAACCCTTGAGTTGCAACTAGCTACTTCTTCATAAATACTAATCAATGATTACAGTTTAATGATCAATTTTTATTTATTCATCTAATTCGTAAACGGATATATTTAGCTCACCCACTACCTACAATTTGTTCTCATTGGTCTATCACTATTATCTGCTTATAGGATCTTGTGTCCAAATGTTTTGCAGCTGTTATGCAAATGCTGTGCTCCAATGCCTTGCTTACACCCGTCCTTTGACAATCTATCTCCTTCAAGGGACTCATTCAAAACAATGCAAGTACCTAATATTCTAATCTTTGAGCGTCTTGTGACTTGAAGTCTTGAACCCTTTTTAGTTGCTTTGGTTTTATGTTCAATCATTTTTTCTATTGCATTGCTCCTTTCAGGTTGGAAGGATGGATGGTGTTTTATTTGTGAATTTGAACATCTTATGCTGAAAGGAAGGGAAGGTTACAGTCCGTTATCACCTATCCGGATCCTCTCTAATATTAGTCATCTTGGTCATGGAAGAGAAGAAGATGCTCATGAATTTCTGAGGTGACATAATTTCTGAATTTTCAATCTCCTTGATTTCTGCATAGGCGTAGATGGACTTATTGTTCCTGTTGCTGATATGACAGATATGCTGTTGATACTATGCAATCAGTTTGTGTTGAGCTGTCTGGATTTTCAGGTCCATTGGGAGAGGAAGGTACTCTTGTTGGCATGACATTTGGGGGCTATCTTTATTCTAAGGTTTGGGGCTTTTTGTTGATGGCAATAATTGATACTCTAAATTATTTCATTTGTTGTACTCAACACATTTGGATGTTTGCTTGTACATCACGAATGAGGTTTGATATGATTTTCAGATAAAATGCATGAAGTGCCATAATGTGTCAGAGAAATATGAAAGGATGATGGATCTCAGTGTAGAGATAGATGGGGATGTCAGAACTCTTCAACAAGCTCTAAAAAAATTTACAGCTTCTGAAATGTTACAAGGGAATAACAAGTACTACTGCGGCAGGTTCTCCCCTCTCTCCTCTCCCTTATTTTCAGCTTTTTATTTTTATTTTATTTTTCGGTTAATTTCTTCTGCTGGTGCATGAATTGTTCGTTATACTTTTATGCAATAGATGTAAATCTTATGAGAAAGCCAAGAAGAAGCTCACTGTCTCCCAAGCCCCAAACATCCTTACAATTGTGTTGAAGCGATTTCAGGTTGTTATTTAATAGCCTCCCTTGTCTATAGTTCTTTCTCATAACCATGAAGAATTATTGCAGATTTGGATGCTTATATTTTAACTCTCTCTTCCAGGCTGGCAATTTCACAAAGTTGAAAAAAGCGGTTCAGTTTCCAGAAATTCTGAACATGTCTCCTTATATGAGTGATTCGACTGATAAATATCCTCAATATAGTCTATATGCTGTGGTAGTTCATCTGGATGTCTCAAGGGCTGATTTTTCTGGCCATTATGTGTGCTATGTGAAAAATTATTGTGAAGAATGGTTCAAGATTGACGACAGTGCGGTATGTCTCCTTTGCCAAATCCTTAGAAAATTTTAGGAACTTTAGTTGATAGTCTGCTATATCATAGCAAATTTACGGGAGCCTTTTTTTTTTTCATTAGCTTACCTTTCACTCTGTACAGACTATAGTCTGTATCTTGCGGTGCCTTACTGCCAATGGATTGATTAGTGGCTTGCTGCAGGTTAGTAGCGTGGATCTGAAGAGAGTCTTATCAGAGGAGGCATATATGCTACTCTATGCGAGGTATGGATTCTGTAAACAAGTTGGTCTTACTGTTCATTGTTCAAGTTAATAAAAGTTAAAATACAATTTTGAAAAGCCTGATGCAATTACTGCTAGATTTTAGCTCTAGTGCAAGGTATATGGGCTACTTGATTTTTGTCTCAATTCCATGTGCTTATGGTATGATAATATAGAGTGGACCATTCTGGGGTAGCTCATTCAATTCATGGAGAAGTTGAGTGATCTATCTATGCTCAGTTTGGAAACGAATCAGTGTCAAATGATTATAGATGAGTTCTTTGAAGTGGGTACAATATTGTAGTACTGCTCCAAATTACAAGCATTACAGAATGAGGCATGATGTATGCTAGGAACTCCTTTTTCTTTTTGGGTGCATGGGGTTGGGGGGAGGGGGGGAGATGATGGTGCTTAAGGTGCCAAGGGGTGCTACTGAACCGAAAACATGTGTTATGTTTTGGCTTCTTTCTGCATCCTTCCATGTTAATACGAAGTATGATTTTACTAAAGAGCTTATATATGTAAGAGGAAAAGGACAAATCTCAACGAAACATTTCTAGATAATGGTCATTTATAACTAGGATTTACCTGTAACATGCTTATGGTTCCCTACTTCCCTCTTGGAATGCCGCTAATTGGTTGTATATGAAAGTATGGTGTTTCCTTAATGGAAGTTCAAGCGTCTACAGTTTTTGTAGTGAACTTTTTTTGGGAGAAAATATCTCAATTTAGATCACTATTGATTATAAAACTTTTTTTACTGCAGGGATACTCCAAGATCCCCAGCATCAAGGAGGGAATTTTTTGATGGCATGATTTTTGAATCTGGTTACGGTGAAAAAGACGTATTGTCCAAGGTCGGGCATAAAAGATCTGATGTTAGTGTTGATCCTTGGGTGATGCAGCATCAGTCAAGTAGAAACGGTTATGCAAAAGACCCTTCTTCATATGTAGAGGAGTGGGTTACTCACTCTGTTGAAAGCATTCCGAGGGTAGACTCATCAAGTGAGGTATCTTCCTTGTTCAGCTGTTCGGAAGAAGGCACATGTAGTACACCAAGCACCAAAGATTCTGCTAGTGCGGATGAATACTCTGATTATTTGTTTGGGAGAGGCAGTGTTTTTGGTCGTTAAGCTTAAATGGTTCTTGGAGAGACCTTATTCTGGACTTTTGGTCCATCATTTTTGAGTTTTAAATGCCCGGGAACAGATAGTAATCACAGCAAAGAAGGACGATGAAGTATTAGAGAAGTTCTGCTATAGCCTATAGGTATATACTTTGTATATGTTAGATTGTTAGGTAACTCCCGTACATTCCAATGGGAGTGTAGGACTAACAATAACTTAGTCCAGTGTTTAGCTACATATCTTTTGTGAGTTCCACACTTGGTGCTTTGCTAGTTATGAGCACAGCAAAATTAAGCTCAAATGTTTTATTCAGATTTGAGCTTTTGTGACACAGTTAAGTTTTTTTTTTTTTTTTTTTTTTTTTTTTTTTTTTTTTTTTAGTATATTATTTTATTAAGGGAATGGTAAATGTGAATTTTTGTCAATTTCACTGTATAGTAGTAGAACCTTAACTTTTGTTCTAGCTCCTTTAATTTACAGCTTAGTTATCGACGCCTTAATGCAGTACTATGTGCCATATTATAAGTCATTATGTATACTACGTACACTTCGTAGAGGGTGGAGTAGAGGGTTTGTCAGAGTATGGTGGTAGAGACGCCGGAAAACATGGCGGCGATGCCTTCTTGTTGGATGATACGGATACCGACAGGGACCGACGTGAGGGGTTGGGGGTTGGGTGGGGAGGGTGATTGTGTGGGGCACGAAAGACGGGTTGAAGGCGGGAGCGGAACGGAGGGTGGTGGTTGTGGTGGGGGTGAGACTGGGTTCGCCTTGGAGTTGCATTCGGACTTCGATAAGGTCAAGAGGGTGGGTTGAGCATCCAGCGATAATGGATGCGATTCCACCCTGATCCGAATGTTGAGAACTTCGAGAGTTTGTTAATTCCTTACAAGGAAAACCGAAACTTGAACATTAACTCATTAGAAGCTGTAAATTGGCGGTTCTTGGACGGTTCAAGCAAAGGAACTTGGTGTCTAGTACAAGCTCAAGTTCCGGATCACTCTACTTAGTGGTTTTTAATTAGTTTTTGCTTGCAAGTTTTTACCTTTCAATTGAAAGGGTTTATCTTGGTTTAAGCACTTAGGATTAATTTTATTTATATTAGGAATTATAGACTAAGTAGAATTAGTTTCCTAATCTAAGTAGAATTGGAATTAGTTTCCTAATCTAAGTAGAATTAGTTTTCTTATTCTATTTGGTTTACTTGGGGCTAAAGGCTAGGGACTTATCCTAGTCCATAGACTTAGAATTAGTTAGTTTTTAGTCTATAAATAGTTGTAATTCATGACTTTTAGATATAGATTTTTTCAGATTAATAAATCAAAGTATTTGTTTGTTTTGCAATCAAAACATTCGTTTCTTGAAGCTGCTGATTAAGTTCTTTAAGCTTTGTTTAAGTAGATTAATTAAGGGGTGGTGTGACCTTTAACTTAATTATTCTACTTGTCTTCTTGATTAATTCTTGGTGGACGAATCCTATAGAGAATTAGGCTTGAATGATCCTTGTGTGTGTTTAAGTTTCTTGAACATACGCATCATCTTGGTAAGCCAAGTTCGGTAAAACTTAAACTGGGAACGTTCTACTGGGAATTTTTGAGTGATTCTTTTTTGCGTTGGACTCCAAAAACGTCCAGCTACCACTTCCTGAAATTTCGTAATTTTTGGATAAGTAACGAGTTCTACACAGCCTCAAACTTTTGGTGTTGCTGCACTGATTTGCGGTTGAGAACCCGATTTTGTTTTGCTTCATTATTCATCCAAGATTCGATCTTTAATCAAGATTTTTGCATAAACTAACTGTGTTTGTGTAGAAATTATGAGTGACGAAGAAAGACCAGTAGTTCCAAGGAATTTAACCTTAGAACAAGCACAGAACCTTCGAAGAGATCGACAGATAACCGAATTGGCAGCAAGGTTGGACGAGGTAAAGGAGACTTGATGTTCGTGACAAATCTTCTTCAAAGAAGGGTAGTTCCAACTCTAATCTAGACTCAAGTGATGAGGGGAGTTCAAGAAGGAGAAAACCTAGAAAACCTAGGAAAGACTACTCATCAAGTGATGAATCTCCAAGGCCTAGAAGGAGAGATAAGCGCAAGGATGATGATAAAAGCTTGAGATTAGATCTTCTAGATTTCCATGGTAGTCTAATTGAACCCGAAAAGTATCTTGAGTGGGTAAGGAGAGCCGAAACCCTATTTGATTTCAAGGACTATGATGAGAGGAAAAGATGCAAGGTGGCTGAATGCAAGTTGGTTGGATATGCAAGCTTGTGGTATAATAACTTGAAAAAGAAAAGGGAAAGAGAAGGTAGATATAGGATTCGAACATGGAGTCAACTTAAGAAGCACATGAAGAAGAAATTTGTTCCTGAAGACTATGGCAAGATCTCTACATAAAGATTTGATATGCTTTGTGATTTAGATAACAGACTCGTACATACCATCTTATGGAACTTTGGATCCAGCACACCTTCGTGTTGTAATACAAAATGCTTACTACTCATGTTTCCAACCTTGTCTGTGGCCTTCTGATAAATGGTGGTTCATAATCTGTTGGTTGCTATTTAAGTTTGTTAATTTTCAAAATGAAGATATATGCCATGAATGAAATGGGATCATGCGATATCACATCCCTTATGTGAGAACCCCAACTTATGTGAGAACAACTTACAGCCGTTGGATCTAATTAGATCCAACGCTCCAAACTATACGCGGTTTAAGTAATGACACTTTTTGTAAATAAAAGAACTTTCTAAGTTGTATATAAGAAACTTTATAAAAATTAGTCTAGCTCTTTCTCTCTCTAAAATTGTTGCAGCTAATTCTTTTTCTCTATCTCTATCTGATGTTCCCTTTCTTTTCTAGAAATTCAGCCAGCTTTGCCCTTTCTCTCCCATAAATCTTCGATTGCAATGCCTCAATATCATCAATTTTCAGCTTGAATCTTCAACTATTTTGTTAGGTCTGTAATAATTACTTATAATTCGATTTTTGGCTTCAATCTTTAAATATTGTTGGCTTATAATATTTTTTAATTTCACTTTAAACCTTAGAGATCGTGAATTGCTAAATGGATTCAACACAAGCTCCCAACAACAAAGCAAAATCTCCAGTTCTTACCTATGAACGAAGAATGTAAGTAACAATTTATTGATTTTTATTTTGTAGCGTTTTTACTTGTCAACATAATCAATTTATTGATTTTTTTCGATTTTTTTTCATTGTAATTGAGCAATTGAAGAATTGTGTAATGTATTTCTTTAGTATTTTGGAACTTTAGAAGAAAAATACGTTGATTCAATTTCTGTAAATTTTTCTATTTAGCATGATTTTAAATAGGATTTTTTTGGTTTTATATATTGACAACAAATCATGAATTGCTTTCCTTTTTTCCATTATTTATTTGCTCATTTTATTTTACTTTGCTCATTTTATTTCAGTTTGCTAATTTGAATTCAGTTTCTATGATGTTTTCTGAACTTGTCATTTGACTTAAAACTTTATCTTTTTGTGTACACTAATATTATTTTTGATAATCACTAAACATGAATGGCCTATGATGTTTCCTGAACATTTCATATGAAATGGCATTGGTGTGTCTTGAGTTGGTGTAATTAGTGAAAAAATCATGTATAAATTTTGATGTTATTAGTGTAATATTGGAGCAATTTGATGTTATTTTGTTGGATACATGTATTTTCCATGTGTTGGTCAGATTTTCGAAGTAAATACCTTATGGAAATTGGATTGGTGTTTAAGTTGAAGATTAGGGAGTATGCACTTTTTCTAGAGTGAATTAACATTGTCCTGGCCTAATTTTGGCTCAGTAGATGTTTCTAAGCCAAAGTTGAAGAGTGTTAAGAAATATGCACAGAGGGATGTTGTCTAAGCCATCTAGAAAATTGTCCGTTACGTGGGCAAGTCTTGTTTATAGGAGGTATCAGTTCTATATATTCTGACATAACCGCTAGTCAATGCAATAACCAGCAACTATCATCATATTCCTACATGTTAGGGCCCATGATGTTAGTTAGCTTTTCAAAAATTGATATTAATTCTTTAACCAATTCAAATGCTCATTTATCAAATGAGCAAATAATTCTTTGCTCATTTGTCATGAGCAAATAATTCTTGCTATTTTGTCTAATGAGCAAACAATTACTTGCTCATTTGTCAACTTATAGATCATGTTCCTCTCATCTGAGTATCATAAATGTCCTTTTCTGAGGGATTTGAACCCACCATGCTTTGATAGTTGCAAATACTAAAATACTTATTTGCTCATTTGTCAAATGAGCAAATAATTATCTGCTCATTTGTCAAATGAGCAAATACAATTGATACCTTTTATGCCTTGTGATTCAATGGTTCAATGATTCAAATGAGCAAATACAATTGATATCTTTTCTGAGGTTCTCAAATGAGCAAATGTGACACACACTCCACCAAACTCGGAACATTTGGAAGAGTGGTTGCATCACTACATGTATGGTTGATTTTGGGCTCTTTTTTTTCATAGCTGTTGTGAACCATATTGGGCTGTATTTTTTTACTTCTAAGGTTTTATACCCATACCCAGCTTGAACCTACATAGGGGCACAGTAAGTAGTAAGACTGTCAATGACCCGATCCAAAAACGACCTGACCACAACATTTTTGAATCTTTAGCTTTCTTGGCAAAAGGTTTCCTCTCGGTATCCTTTGGTATGGTCTCCTCCACCACCTTTGGTACCGTAAAGATAAATTCAGTAACAGATACACCTTTTATCTCGGGATTTTCTTCTAGGTACTTGTACACACTCTGGATTAAAAGTACAGACATCTAAGAATTCAAGGAAAGATTTTGAACTCTTCTTTCTTTCTCATAAAATGGTGAGATTAATGAGGTTTTGTATGTGAAAGTTAAAACTAATGAACAGCTATTCTCGGACTTTAATTTCGACTTAGGCTAAATTTTGTGAGCAGCTTGTTGATATGCATGCAGGAAGCCATTACCGATCTTTTGTACAATTAACAATTCAGAATATAGAGTGTAATGGTAATTATTTTACTCATTTGTCAAATGAGTAATGTGATTATGTAGTTTCATTTTATTGCTTCATTTTTTTCTCTTTCTCCTTACACTTCTGATTTGTTTGCAGGTCATAATCATTGAAAAACTTCGTTCGAAGTATAGCTTCTCAATTATTCCAAGTGAAGTAAATACTATTGAATCTGTTAATCAAATTGGTCAAAAGAAAAAAAAAAGCCGAAGAAAAGTGTTACAACTGAAGAAAGCTAGTTGTCAGTGATATGATCCCAACAGCATCACCAAGGGGCAGCAATCTAAGAGCATTCAAGGGAGAGAATTGAAGATTGAAGTTGATAAGACAAGTTGACTTTAGGAAGAATCACATTTTGGAAATTATTGTATATAGGGGAAGGAAGACAGAGAAGAAGGTTAGGCAATTGTTATGATGTTCTTAGGATTTTTATAGAACAATATTAGTATTAGTT